CTGTCAGTGCTCAGCTTTCTTTCCCTCTTCCTGCAGGTGGATGTGTTGGAGGGCACCCTGCAATGCCCAGAGTCGGGACGTCTGTTCCCCATCAGCCGTGGGATCCCCAACATGCTGCTGAGTGATGAGGAAACTGAGACTTAAAAGTGTGCCAGGCTCGTTTTTCATTTTGTGAGCGTGTGTATCTTTGTTTACGTATATCCTGTTCGCTACTTCTATCCTGTGTATCCCCAGCCCTTGGTCCAGCGACACACCAAACACACGGTGTTCTTGAGCTCGGTATTATATATATTTTTCTCATTAAAGGTTCAAAACCAAAAGCGGTTTCTCTTTGCAGCAAATATACATTAAAATAGAGTCTCTGTACAGCCAAGAGCTCTGGGCCCTGGCTTGCCCCATGTCCCTGCGCCTCCCTGGCCAAACCCAAAAATAAATATAGTGTTATTGCTCTGCAGGGCATAGAGACAGTGCTCTCCCTACCCCGTGAGGAGGCTGGGTGGGAGCTGATGTGGGTGCCCTGGCCACCCCAGGGGCCCAGGGGCTGGAGCCTGCTTGGAGTTATTGCTTCGGGGGGGGGGGCAGTAATGCCCAATGCAAATGATGAGGAAAGGAGCGAAGGGAGCAGGGGCCTTTGCTCTCCAAATCCCTCTCTGTTCTGGAGAGGGAGTCGGATTAAGCAGCAGCAAAAGCATCACCCACTGGGAGACTGTGGCCTCCACTCCCTTCCCTCCCTGAGATCAGGCTTCTGCCCCACCCCACCCCACATACACACAAACACACACACACACACACACACACACACACATCCCCTACAGCCCCCTATGGCTTCCGCAAGGCCCCCTACACCCTGGGGGCACGTTATGGCTTGCGAGGGGCAGCACTGTGCCCAGAGCCTGGGCATGCACGTTCCCAGCTTCTAACACCCCCGGGAGGGGGGAGGGGAGGGCATAGGGCCTGCTCCGGCTGATGGTGTTGCCCTGGCCCTGCCAGCAGGCTGTGGCACTGCCCAGACCCCAGCTCTGCCCCCTTGGGGCTGACCCCGTGCTGGGCAGGTCCTGCCAGCACCCCCACCTGTGCCCAGCCCTCGCCTCAGTCCATCATGGCCTCAAGCATCTCCAGGAACAGCTTGTGCATGGGCACCTTGCCCTCCAGCTTCACCCCATAGAAATGGGCCAGCACTTTGCCTGCCGTCTGGCGAAGGAGCGGTAGTGTAAGCAGCAGCCTGCCTGCCCGCCTCCGCTCAGCACCCCCTCCGGGGCCTGCCCGGCCAGCTTCATACTCCAGCAGGGCCTCGTGTAGAGCTTCTCGAAGCTGCTCCACAGCCTCAGCATCTTCAATGTGCACAGAGTCTGCAAAGAAAGGTGAGAGAGCTGTTGACATGGGCCGTCTCCAGAAAGGGCAGAGCCACATCTGCCTGGGCACCACTGGATGGGTCCCAACCAGGAGCCAGACAAGGATTTGCTGAAGCACCACCCACTGCTCCTGCCCATCAGCCAAGGCCCACCCTTTCTCCCTCGGCTATGGCCACCTCCTGTCCCCATCACCTTTTCTCTCACTAAATGGTTCACCTTCCCACAAAAGTATGGATACCAGGGCTCAAAATCCTGCATGCAGTTCCTGGACCTGTCCTTGCCCGGCTTTGTGACTTTCAGGAAGTCACTGTTCTTCCCCTAAGCTACAGTTTTCCTTGTCTGCAAAATGGGACTGTGCCACCATCAGAGTTAAAAACCAGAAGGCCTTACAAAGAGACCTGTCATTACTTGCCCCAGACTCACCTGAATTGGCGAGGGCCAGGGCCTTCAGCAGAACGTACTCCTCGCGTTCCAGCCGCAGGGCCTGCAGTCGCCGCACCAGTTGCAACAGGGCAGCCCCCAGTTCCCCCAGGCCAGCTGCTCGAGCCCCCTCTTCATCCAGGACCAGGTCCTCGGCGAAGGCCAGCTCATCCTGCAGTGGAAGTGAGCGCTGGGCCACACCCAACACCAGGACCTCCATCCACACGCTCTGCAGAACTGACATCTGGTCAGACAGCGACAGTGACGAGAAACCTGGAGGGCAGTGGGGGGCAGAGCTGGCTGAGCAAGCGCACCAGAGCAGGCACGGCCCCACCTACCCAGGGGAGCCCCACATCGCCTGGGCCCTTTACCTGGGATGCTCTTGGCCCAGCTGATGGTGACCACGATCTCTCGGTCAAAGAGGTCACAGAGGGTAGCCACGGCCGGGAGGTGTCCATCAGGGCCCGCTGGGTCGGGCATGGCATACAGCTTCTCAGGCTCAACCACTAGGAGGTGGGACACCAGTGCATTCACCGGGGCTGCAGTGACAGTTGAAAGAGGCACTCAAATTCATCACCTTGCCAGCGCTTCAGGGTCAAGCATCTTCCCAGAGTCAGTCCCCCTGTGGCCTTCCTCAATAGCCACTGGCCAGCCAGGCTCAGACACCTCTCTCCGGGAAGGGCTACACTATCTCCCAGGGAAAGCACCTGTTTGTGGACAGGTTCTGAGTGTTAGAAAACCTTCTCTGCTCCCAGCTGTATTGCTCGAGGCCTGACATAGAAAAGGGTATTTTTGTAAATACTTCTTGGGGGAAATGAGTAAACGAAGAGATGAAGGGAAGATTTGGGTCCCAGTGCCCAAGATAACTACTATCCCGGGTGAATGACGTCAGACAGGTCTCCCATGTCCAAGCTCCACCCCAGCCCCAGAGCCCCCAAAGACCCCACTGTGCTCTCACCTGTCTTCCGAGGGCCTCCAGCTACTGCCAGAGGTCCAGCAGGGAAGGGGCCTGGGAAGGGCAGCGGGTCCACCTCTGGCCGCCGCTTGTACTTCTGTCGCCCACCCCGGACACGGTCCAGACGCACCCCTTGAATTGTAGGACAGGGCTGTGTCCATGGGGCTGCGGCTGGCCTGCTCTCCAGAGCCCACCTGCCGAGCCCAGTCCGCCAGAACTTCCCAGGCCTTGCCCAGCCCAACCCCGTGCGCCCAGCCCCCACGCCTTGCCCAGGCCCCCGCCAGTGCTCACCCTCCTTGAGCATGCCCACCCGCAGGCACTTGGTGAAGCGACAGGCCTGGCAGGCCTTGCGTCTCCGCTTGGTGATCTCGCACTCGTTGGAGGCTGGACAGCTGTACTCGATGCTCCCTGCCAGGAAGAGGCAGGGCTCCAGTGGCGGCCTCCCAGGGCCCGGAGGAGGCCCAGCGGACAGGAGTCCCCTGACTCACCCCAGGTAAGCACTGGTCTGGGGAGAGCAGGAGTGCTGTGAATGGGGGCAGGGAAGCCCGAGCACTGAAGGGAAAGGCCACTGGGCTAGGGGCCCCAGCCTGGGCAAGGGAGGGGCTGGGACCAGAGGAGTCGGGCTGCACCTGGCCCAAGCTTCTTGTCAAGTCACGTTTCTGGGCTATGCTGCTCTCATCAAGGGCCACAGTGGCCTCTACATTGCTACATCAAGTGGTCAATTCTCATCCTTATGTCATTTGGCCCAATGGAGCATCTAATGCCATTGATCCCTCCTAGAAACACTTTTCTTCCTTTGCTTCTAGGACACCACACTCCCGGCTTTCCTCCCACCTCACTGCCACCTTGTGGTTTCTGTGCATTGGCCCACGCTCCTTCCATTGAAGACCCCTAGGGTGGCCCTCCGACCTGCCTCCACTGACTCACTCAAATGGTGATCTCACCAAGTCATGGGCTTTCAAATCTCCGTCTCTGGCCTAGACCAGCCTGAACTCTAGACGTATCCCACTGCCTCCTCCTGTGTGCCTGGAAGACACTACAAACTTAAGCAGTTCTAGATGGAGCCCCCAACCTACCCCTCCAACACCTGCAATCCCATTTGTCCAGCTGCTCAAGCAGAAATCTAGGAGACATTTTTAATTCCTCTCTCACACCCCAAACCCAACCCACTGACAGATCCTGGTGGGCTTCACCTCCTAATATGTCCAGAGGTGCCCCTCTTCTGCCCCTGGCAACTGTTTCTACCCTTGACCAGAATCACTGTCACCTCCCCTCCTGCTCTGTCTTTGCCTCCTTTGGTTACTGTCAACACAGAGGCATCCTATTAAACCTAAGACAGGGAGTTCCCTAGCGGTCCAGTGGTGCATTTCTCCTCACAGCCTGCTTTCTCCTACACCCTACCTGGGCCTCTTCAGCTCAAGGCACCTCTTCAGGGAGGCACTCCAGAGTCCCAGACCCAGCCAGGTTCCCTGGCACACACCCTGCTCCTCACCCTCCAGCACTCACCACAGCTGTACTGTAACAACTGTGTGCAGTTTCTCTCTCTCCCCTCTGCTGGAATGTAAACTGCTTGAGGACAGGAGCGATCCTGCCTTAGTCCCAGCTATGCCCCCACACCTGGAACAGTGGCCAGGACAGCAGAGCACAAGTGTGTGAAGAGCAAGGATCCTGGAGGCTGCCACTTACCAACGGTGTGACCTTGGGCAAGTCCCACACCTAAGCCCTCGAACCCTCAGTTTTCCCATCTGTAAAACTGGGATGATTAGAAACTACTTGTGGGCTTCTCTGGTGGCGCAGTGGTTAAGAACCCGCCTGCCAATGCAGGGGACACGGGTTCGAGCCCTGGTCCAGGAAGATCCCACACTTGGCAGAGCAGCTAAGCCCGTGCGCCACAACTACTGAGCCTGGGCCCTAGAGCCCACGAGCCACAACTACTGAGCCCACACGCCACAAATGCCGAAGCCCGCGCGCCTAGAGCCCGTGCTTCGCAACAAGAGAAGCCACCACAATGAAGAGTAGCCCCCGCTCGCCGCAACTAGAGAAAGCCCGGGTGCAGCAACGAAGACCCAATGCAGCCAAAAATTAATTAATTAAATAAATTAAATAAATAAATATAAAACTTTATAAAAAAAACTACTTCTTACAAAGGTGAGTTGTGAGAACTAAATGGGAAAATCAAGGTAAGACATTTAACCTGGCTCACAGCACCTAAATGCTCAAGAAATGATCACTATTTATGGCTAGTGCTCGATAAATATTAGTCAACAGAGAACGAAGCATTCCAGGGTGGGTAGGAGACACCTGGACCTGGACCTGGACCTGTTGGCTCAGGTCTTTAGGGCCAGAAGGGAGCACGGAGCTTTTAGACCAGCGGGTCTCAGCCAAGTCAAAACTTGCTAGAATGTCACAATCAGTCGTGAGGCATCTGTCCAAAGTTCAGTTATTAGTAATAAGCAGAGGCAACAGTCTGGCCTTTACGAGCTTAGCTCTGGACCTCAACTGACCCAAGTTCATATCTTGTTTCTGCCATTTTTCTACCTCTGGGACCTGAACAAAGTTTTGAAAACCTCTCTGGGCTTCAGTTATAATAGTGCTGGCACCTTAGAGATTGCTGTGTGGGTAACTGAGAGCATAAACGTAACAGGACACAGTGCCTGGCACTCAAGAAATGTTCTCAAAAAGGCTACATGTTATAACCCCCAAGTAACCAATGGTTTATATAAAAAATATAAGTAATGGGCACATCCCAAATAATGCTTATTACATCACCATCTTGCTCACTCGTATTTTGATATGCTTTCCTGAGTGAGAAAAATTCAGTGAGTACTATTGGCAGGGATGCCTAATAGTCTTTTTAAAGTTAGGTGCTGAAATACGACATAGCTACTCTCAGTTACCCGTAAAAACCTGCCTTGTGCTCATGCTGCTTTGGGGAAATCAACACAAAAGGGGGCATATTCTCTGCTGGTGAGAGGGCAGCAGCTGCTGGAAGCAAGAATAAAGTTTAGGAGCAAGCAGAGGCTGCTTTGAATTTTTCAGAGCCACTGTGGAAGGTGCTGGGCCTAGAGTACCCAGAAACTTGGGAGGCATCTTGAGTCCCACTCTCACACCCCACATCCAATCCATCAACACATCCTGGTGGCTTTAATTAATGCTTAAGGGAAAGGACGTTCCTGGGAGGTAGGAGGGCCTGGGAACTCCAGGCTGCCAACCCCAAGTGGTACCACGGCAGCCTGGGAGCCTACTGCCACCCAGCAGTGCACCAGCTGGGGAGCGCCAGGCCCAGAGGGCAAAGGGCACAGGAGCGGGGTGGGGGCTCACCCTGGATGGTCCTCTTGAAGAAGGCTTTGCAGGCCTCACAGGATGCCACACCATAGTGGTAGCCGGAGGCCACGTCCCCACAGACCAGGCAGAGGCGTTTGGGCAGGGAGCTGAGCACCAGCTTCCCACCACCCTGCTCGCCAGGCCCAGCCCCCTCCCCATCCTCCTCCTCCTTGTGGCCTGGGAGGCAGCGGGTGGGAGCTGGGCCAGGGGCCAGGGCCACGGGGGGCTCAGTCTCAGTCTCCGAGGAACCCTTTGGGCTGTCAGGACTGGCTGGCTCTGCCTTGATGTAGAGAGGCTCAATGCCCACCACCTGGCTGGACATGGCGCTGGTCACCTGCGGGAAGAGACCCGTCAGGTCACAGGGAGGCCCTGGGATGGGGGATGGAGACACCCTGTCACCCTGGTTGCCCAACCCCAGGCCTGGGGCCAGGCTTCCAGGCTCAGCAAGAGGGTGGGGGGGACAGAGTCCAAGGAAGGCTGCCCTTGAAGAGCTCCCCCCTCCCCGCGGCTGTTGCCATGGAAACAGAGTCTCCAGAGCCAGTAACTGACAGCAGGTCTCCCACTTGGGAAACTGCAGGAGGCTTGGAAACCCCCTACTCCCACCCAGGCCAAGGAATAGGGTAACCTAAGTGCCCAAGCAACCTTCAACCCCGTCTGGAATCCCCAGCCAGAAGTGAGATACCTCTCAAATTTTCTCCAGATGTTAGAGAGCTCAGTGATCCCCCCACACCTGGGTTTCCTCCATTCAAGAGCGAAACTAAACTGAGGCCACAAACCCAAGGGCAGGTGACGTGCTCACACATGGCGTGTGTTTACACCCTCACACTCCCACTCACCTGGGTCCTCAGGTGTCCTCACCTGCACACACACGCTCACACACAATCACTCTCCTGGGCAGGTTCACGCTCATACATGTCCTTTCCCAAACCCCAGCACTCACTCATGCTCCCGTTGCCTTCGCACACTCCTCCTGAAGTGCACACCCCATAACAGTCACACCCAAGGCTCATAATCACACTCTCGCTCACACACTCTTACACTCTCACCATGCCCCCACACTCACACACACACACACACACACACACACACACACACACAGGCATAGTCCCTTGTGGAAACACATTCAGAGCCTCTCACACCTGACACATCGCCACCTCCAGCCCCAGGCACACCAGCGGGCGCGGCTCCACCTCCTTGCACCCCCTCCAGCACATTCGCTCTTACACTCCTGCTGCCGCAGAGTCCTCCACCACGGGGCGCCCCGCCCCCCCAACCTGCGCACACCTACGGGAAGTTGCCTAAAGTTGCTGCGCCTCCCCTCCCCCTCCGCCCGCGGGGGACCTCTATCAGGTTATCAGGAAGTAATGGGGGAGCGCCAAGGAGGAGGAAGTTCTCCCCTGCCAGTGCGATGACCTTTGACCCAGAGAGGAGGGTGGCCCTAGGCCCCTTCGAGCGCCCCCACGTGGTCTTCAAAGCCCCTTCCCCGACAGAGAACCCTTCCCATCTTCCAGCCCGGCCTTCCCCTGGGACTTCGGCATGCTCCAGGTGCCGGATTGAACCCTGCCCTGGGACTAGATCCGAAGCCCAAGCCCGACCCTGGTCTCAGGCCGGCGCCCTAAGACCTGGACGCCATGTCCCGCCCAGACCCTGACCCTGTCTGGCTTTCGACCGGGTCCCGACCGTGACCCGGGCCGGACCCCGCCTGGAGCCCGCCCCCCGCCCGCCTCCCTGCCCCGCTCGCACATGGCCCCGGCGCACCGCCCGCCCACCCTCCAGCGGCGCTCCCCTCCGCCCCCGGACCTGGGGCCCCGGCAGGGCGGGCGGGCAGGCATGGGGGCCGAGCGGCCCGGAGCGCCGGGGTGAGCCTGGGGCCGCGGGCGGCCCCT